TGAGCAGAGGGAAAGGAGCTGCACTTACCGAGTGGTGCTGCACAGGAGCCCTTGTGGGGCATGGCCTGATGTGAGCCCTGCTGGCTGAGCCGAGGGCAGCACTGAAATCATCCTGTCAAAGGATCACCAAAGAGAGCCTGGCTTGGAGGCCTTCTCATAACTGCTTTTTTTGCCTTTTTTTTTTTTTTTAATTTGTTTGAGGGATTGGGATAACATAACTGTTAATTCTTCTTGTTTTCAGTCTTGTTTGAAATAAGCTGACCATTTTAGGACAAGCTAATCGTGATGTTGCCACAGTGTGCCTTTGGCGACTTTGCTGTTACACATGCTATGGTACACTTCAGCTGCTAAAAAGCTGTTGGTCAGGGTCCATAAATTAAAGGCATTTCATTAAATCTTATTCTAATATATTGAAGATGCATAAAAAAATATTGCTGGACAGGCAGGAAAAGCTCTAATAGAAAATGTATAAATGGTGCAGAGATAAAAATGAAATTACCTGAACTATTAAAAATTCTAGAGTAGAGCTGATCATGGCCAGGACTCCAGGCACTGAATTTGTTCATATTTACTGTCATGACCTTGCTAACTATGCATAATTAGAAGCAACCTCTCTGTCAATAAGTTTTGAATTTACATTTCTGAGATCTTTAATTTGCTTTTCAAACTTTCTGGTGCGGATTTTATCTGCAAATTCATAGGTAGCATTTCAATTGGGTAACTGCATTTTCCATCATGTGTTAGGAGCATTTATATGCTTTATGTAGGCTCAATTATTCGTAGGACAGTCAGTTCAGAGGGGAGTTTCCTTAGTGCTATCCTCTATATAGAGTGTTTCCAGTAGGCATTGTGAACTATTCCTTTTATTTTGATACTTTTGTTTACTACTGAACACATAATTAAAGAAAATCACTGAAAGGTAGGTTACTGTTGAGAGATTTTCTAGCCCTGAATATTTCTTTCTGTTTGAGGTTGGGAGGCACAGGTGTTCAGAAACAGGGTTTATTTTTTCATTTATAAATATATATATATATATATATATATATATATATATATATATATATATACATATATACATATTTATCTTACCATTCTTGCTACTAAAAAATAATGAAGATTTAAACTGCAGTTCTATATTACATTTTCTTCAATTGAAGCATATAGGAAGCAAAATTATTTCTGGAAAATTAAACTCTTTGGAACAGAAAGTCTAATGAAAAATTACTCCAGTGTAAGTTGGATGAACCTTTTTCCTGAGATCCTCATAATCGGAACTACATTTTGTTGAACTGCCATGTAACTGCACTGGTAGTTATGGTGCTTGGAGTAATTGTGGATGTGAGCATGGAATTACAGTAGGATTCTGTTTGTCTGAGACAAATGTGTAGGCATTGGCCTTTGGTGTCATGCCAGGATTTGGCTATTGTAAAATATTGCTCGAACTTCATAACATTTCAATATCTTTTCCTTTAAAACAAAGGTTCTGGCTCACAGTACACTGTTGTGCTGTGCTTTACTCAGCTGAGGATTTCCCTTACATAGGATTTTGCAGGTTCCTCAGGGCTGCTCACTTCCCAGTATGATTGTTAATTTTAGCACAGCACCTGAGAGCTGCAGTTATGGATAAATGTCTCACTGACACACACTGAGAACAATCACAGCCTTAGCTTTCAGTATTAAACACAAAATGAGACAGCAGAAAGGAGAGCACAAAACCACTCTCAGCAGAAAGTGCAATATTTGTACCAGCTATAGAATACTGGAGGCAATCTTGCTGCAGGCATTCAAGCACTTGGCCTTATCAACTGAATGAAAATGTGTCTCCTGTGCAACTGAAACTTTTATTTAGCTTTGCAAAACGATGACTTTGGCCAATGTCCTAGCAGAAAATAAGATTGTGTTGACATAAAAAGCAAACATGCTGTTGTGAGTCTGTTTCCTTAATTTTCAATGTGATTACAGGGGCCCCAGATGATATTCAGTGCAGCCAAAGATCTTGGACAACTGTCAAAACTCAAGGTAATGGAGCCAGATGAAGCTGTGACTGGCTTGCACTAACAAAAGAAGGAGGAAATATTAATGACTGTGAGGCCAAACCTCATGCCTCATTCTTGTTCTTATGTGGTATAATTGAATATGGCAGTAACTACTCAGAGGTGAATAATTATTGTACAGTTTCATCAAAACCACGTTATGAATAGAAGACTCTGTGCTTATGTGGTAAGTGATCACTACATGGGTCAAGAAGCCATCATCCCCATATTGCACAACCAGGCCTTATGAGCGTTACACATCACACCAAAAAAAATAAAAGACAGAAAAAATCCCTTTGCTTCTAGAAAAGCCCTTAAGGTGAGAATACCAGCAATTTTCTTTCTGTGGACTATTTATGTGCATTGAAACATAGTAAAGTCTTCAGCAGCTCAGTGCTGGAATCTTCTTGATGGACAGCAGAGATGCTTGATACTGATGTCAGTTGTTTGACAGTAAATGCCGCAATTAGGATTTCAGATTTGTACAGAAATGTGTATTTGGGCCCTCTATGAATGATTGTTTAGTTTGCTAGAGGAGTTAAAATATTACCTAAGTTAATCACTGACTGCTTGTTTAGACAAAGATTTAACAGGAGTGTAGTCACTCTATGTCTAACATGTTCCAAGAGAAACCTCTCTTTTTTTTTTTTTAACATGGGGCATTAACAAACATGTGTTAAACTGTCAGGTTTATTATTACAATTAACTACTTATATATCATATAATATAATTATTTTAAGTTAAATTTTAACCTTTCCCCCATCCCCCATAACAGAGAAATAATACATCCTAAGAAAAGAAGTAATGCTCAGTATTAACCAGTGAGTCTGGTTCTTTACAATCTGTGTTTTCAAGAAGCAACACAATTGCTCTAGGTTATAATTTGTTGTGAAAGGATTCTGAATTAATCCCTGTTAATCATAGTCCTTGGGGGGCACTTGGTGGATGTTTGTTTGTTTTGCAAAGAACAGATATTCACAATATTGTCTCTCTTTCAAAACCAACTGCAGTCTTCTGTTGCTTTGCAGGACCACGTGATCCGAGAGGAAGCCAAAAGCCTGACCCTGCGGCAGTGTGCAATAATGGACGTGGCACTCGTTACTATAAAGGTACAGCTTTAGCTCTTTTCCTGCTCCCTGCTGGAATGCCCAGCAATGACTGATTGGTTTTTAGATAAAAGACTGGAGACTTGCATACAGTCTTCATGGAGTTGGTTTCTGAAGTCAAAAGAAGTCATTAGGAATATTTATTAGATTATTAATTAACATATTATTTAATTTGCTTATCAGTATTTTCCACATTGGCCTGGATTATTAGTTGGTGTAAATAACTTAAAAGCAATCAGTTTCTAGAATAACAGCATATTTTCCTGCCTGCTGGGAAGAGACAGCACATCAGGAAGGTAAGGAGGCAGCTACTGAAGTATAAAATTGAAGATATAAATAAAAAGAAATACTTATGATCAAGTGTTTTGCAATAAAAACAGTCTCCAAGACAAGCAAAAAGTAACAGAGAGGGCTCACAATTGCCATTTTTTGTATTTGTAGTGGAATTGGCATTTCTTTCAGAAATAAAAATAATTGGGAATTAGTAATGTTGTGGAAACCAATTGTAAATTGAAAAAAATGAAGTATGCTCCCAAAGTAAGCTGCATGAAGTATGTGAATCCAATAATGTTCTAAACACATAAAAGCTGGGAAGAATGTAAACTCTAACCTTGCCTAAATTTCCAGGCCTTAAACTCTTACAGATGAAGAGATAGGTGTTTTCCATGTCTAAGGAACAGGATAATAACAGATCCAGCTGAATCTGTAAAACCCTGTTGGTTATCTTTCTGTATTCAGTTCCATACAGTAATGAAAGGTTCAATTGTTGGTTTGCTTGCAAAATTCACCCTTTATGGGAAAAACAAAAAAAATAGTTAAAAACTCAGGAAATCAAGGGTCAGGTGTCTTTGTTTGCTTACATGACTATTAGCTTTCATGGAGATTTCAGCCATGTGTAAGTGCTGCTGTAGATAACATTTTACTGGGAGAGACAACTTCAAAAAAATCACAGTAATTGTCACAATAGTAGGAAATATTAACAGATTTTAACACTTGTTTATAAATTGATTATGAGTCTTAGTGAAATCATTTCTAAACTCTTGAGCAACTAAGATGAGAGAAAATTTTTTTGAACATATTGTATGAAATAATTTGCTTGAAAAGATACACATTTTAAATAAGTGTTTAATGATGAGAAGATAGATTTATTCAGAACTTTTTAAACTAACACTATTAAGTATTGCAGCCTGATGACTTCTGTTTTACTCCTACAGATATGTTTTCCCTTTAACAGTTAGTAGACAGCAATACAGAACTGTAAATAAGAAGTGTTATGAAATATTTATGTTTCATCTCCAGCAGAATCTTGAGAACTGGAAGGTGAAATGTGTTGGCTAAATGCAAAGGGCATATGTGGACTGTAGGTCTGAGCTGTCCAGATAAGGTGGGATACAGCATTTAGAGGAGATGTGTGTATGTGAACTGGAATGTAGATACTGCATTTATTCCTTTGGCAGCACTGCAAAAAGGCAGGGAGAGTAAATTCTGCTTACAGTCCCCAAGACTTCCTGTACAGAGGGGACCAGTATTGCATCTCATCAAGCAGTCATTGTGTTCCTGAAATATTTTTACTAATTAGCCATTAATGGGAGCTTTATTGATCTTGAGACCTAGAACTGTAATGGAGGTTGCAAAATGCTTTGCAAGGTGTTTGAACAAAATGAAGGTATGTAGCACATTTATCTTTTCATTGTGGCTAACACGAATCAATTCATCAAACACTGTCCTGTACAAAACTTTAGGAAAATTTCTTCATTCTGGGAGGAAAAAGGGAATAATCTGTCCCCTAATTTTTCTGAACTCAATTTTGGGATTGAAAATATAATATAATACATTTATATATACAGTTTTTATATATATATTTCACATAGTCACCATGGCATCAAAGTCATAAGCATATTTGTTTTTCCAAATCTAGCTGTGCCACTAGAACCAAAAGTCCTCTTCTCACACTGCTACTCCAAAACTTCACACTCTGGAGTATTCTCTCTGAAATGTTTTATCCTTTTCTAAACTCATTCCACTCTCTGCAACCTAAAAGAATGCTTCAAATATTTTCCAATTGGCAAATTAATACTTTAGATCATGAAGACCAAAATCAAAATTTTGTATATTGTTTTCTTCCCCGATTATTTTTTACCCTTGGAAAGAAGCTTTGTACTAGAGATTATGGCTGTAGTCTGAAATGCTATTATAAATCTAGACATGCCTGTTGCTACTTCCAAACATTCATTTAAGAATTTTACTTAAATTTGTATGTCTATAGCTGAAGCATTTATATTTCCTCTGTGAACAACCATATTTGTTTTTCATTTTAGCAATACTTCCATGCTGGAGGAAGTGGGCTAAAAAAGAATTTCCTGGAGAAGAGTCCAGACCTGCAGTCCCTCAAATATGCTCTCAGCCTTTACACACAGACTACCGACACCTTGATAAAGAAGTTTATATCCACACAAACGTCTCAGAGTAAGTGATCTGTAAGGGACACAAAAAATGCATCCTATTGTATTTTAAATGTTCTAAATTATTGATTGCAGATTACATTCTCTACCCCCATTAACCCTCCTAATCTCTACCCCCCAATAAACTCTTTTTTAGAGTTTATTGACACAAATTTGCCCATGTGATGTTATTGATGTTACCCCTTCTCGAATGCTGTTGTTGGGGCTTACCTGGGGGCAGTTCCTTTAGGGGCTTCTGACTGCACAGGAAGAAAAATTCCTGAGCTCTGGGTGGAAACTGGGCACCAGGCTTATTTCTAGGAGCACTGCACACATCATTTTCCAGGATGAATATTTTCTTCATTCTGAAAACTGCAAATTTGTGCATAATAGTAATCTTTAATAGATTTCTTCTGATGACCCGCCTGCAACTTCATGTCTTTGGGAAAGAATACAATTTACTGATACAATGAATTACCCTGCTCCAGCTCGTAAGAATCAGAAAGGTTTAATTGGCTGGTAAAGCTGGAAATCAATTGCTTTTACTTCTAAAGTACAATGTTACTCATGGTATAAAAAGCATGAAACTTGAGTTTTGCAGCTTGCCCCAAGATTATTTCTGAGGAATGATTTCCTAAGCTGTTTCCATATTAAAACTGAGATCTCTGTTAGTAACTCATATATTACAAATAAGAAAATAGGTATAAAACTCTTACATGTACACAAAAAAATTAGCAATATGGATTCCAGCAGGAAATTGTTACTTCTTATTTTACTTTTCTTTAACACAGACCTTCATTGTAGCTTCAGGAGGGAAAAAATACTTAATTTGTAGCAATAAGTAGTGAACTTTTATTCATCCTGAATCACAAATTTAATTTTCTGATTTCCATCCTGATTTCAGCCTGAGGTCTGTGTTCATTTCTGTGCACACATTACCATGCCTATATTTGCACACCAGTATTGTTAGAAATGTAGCCACTGGGAATTAAACTTAAGGAAAAGTGACTCAAAACTTTTCATTATCCTTTAATGCCTCATTTAAAAGAGCTAAATCCTCATCTATTATGATCTCCAGCCTCACAGCTATAACTGCATCATTAACTTTTAGTTAAAATAAGCCTGTCTGCAGATCAGAAGCCTTCTCTGGAATATAATTAGATTGATATTTGGCCTATTTTTTTTCACATTGCCAATCCATAATCAGTAGACAGTTGGATATAATTTTTGGAGACAAAAAGAAAAAATACTATTGTAAGGAAATAAGTTAAAAATAATATTGTAAATGTAAAGAAAGTATATATTGTATAGTATCTATGACTGTAGATAGAATTGGATGCTTGGTTTTACTGTAATGACTACAAAAATCAGACAACAGTCAGGCTTACTTTTACACAGGTTAAAATAGTTTCTCACTCACCATGACTAAGCTGCAGATATTCTAAGAAACTGAAGAGCAAAAATTACCTGATTGGTGAAAAGGGGGAGTTAACTCTACACACAAACAGAGAGCCTGAGGTTGGACTTCATGATCATGGATGTCTCTTCCAGCTTCAGTGATTCCCTGATTCTGTGATAATGGCTCTGTAAAAGTGTCTTATGCTCCCTGATACTTCCTCTATTCCTGTTGGTGCAGGATCACATTCAGTAGGAATACCCAAATTATCCAACACAATGATCTCCACTGTCTCTAAACAAGGATTGCTTGAACCAGAGTTTTGTTTCCCAGCCTTTGTGCCCACACATCCCTACAGATCTTGGCAACAAACAAATTTGTGTAAGATAATAAAAATAAAACCATTCCTGATTTTTAAAATGGTGACTCAGGAATTCATAGTTTTTCCTGTGATGATTTCATCACACTAGATAGTTGAAAGCACAATTCCTACTGCCTTTTTCAAATTATGAGATTACATTGTTATAGACATATGCTCTAAAAGCAAATTGTCATGCAACAGGCATAATGAAATGAACTTCTGTAATCTTACTCTGATGATTTTTCTTTTCAAAGCACCACTACAGACTCTCAAGACTCTTCAAAACAGACAAGTGTTGGAATAAGTAAATGACAATGAGGAGCATAATCTGGGAGCAACATTTTCAGTAACTGGGTTTTTTTGGTTTTTTTTTTTTTTTCCTCCATATAATGATCTGCCATGGCTGAAGGTCTTTTCCAGCTGTAATGATTCTGTGGTGATGAAAGTTGTAAATTTAATGCTCGCTCAGTGTGAATACAAATCTGCAACCATACTATGAAAATTAAGGATAAAAGAAAAATGTTCTCTAATAAAGATACAGACATACAGGTACCAGCTTAGCTTTATCAGTGACATAGCTTATTAAAAATAGCTGCCCTTCTGCCTGGCAGAGGAGGAGGGAGAGGTTTCTCTTCAACTGTTATCCCAGATCTGCCACACAAATTCAGTGGAGATTAAATCCTGTGGAAACTCTGATCAATACAGATTTTAGCATTGGTATCAAAACTAGAGTAAGGGGGATATAATCAATGACTGTCCCTGTGTATAAACATTTCCAGAAAATAAGCAGAACCTGCTAAGCACTTATCCTGTTTTATTCCAAACCCACAAATGTAAAAGATGCAGAGCAGCATTTTCTTTTGCAAATAAATTATCAGTATTTTTGATGGGAAAACTTTTAATAATAATACATAGAACGATTTATAAACTAGTAATGAAATTTACTTCCACCTATCTGAACGTCACATCTAATATTACCCAGAAAGGATTCAGCTGATTTTGCAGTGTTGTAAGCACATTCATCTGGATCAGTTTTCTTTTTTAATTGTGCACAAGAGCTGGCACTGCCAAGAACCATTCCAGGAGCAGGTCACTGATGGAGTCTCTATAAAAAGGACATGGATACAGACCAAATGATTTTGCAAAACCTGGAGGCAGTTTAGTGAGGAGAACTGCATTCCAAAGCCTGAGTGACCAGTATTTAACACACTAGGTGCTCACTGATACCTCTGCAAAGAGCACATACAACACAGCCAGATGAGAATCCTGCACCATCACCTAGTAGATCACCTGAGGTCCAGCTCTCAGATTGATTTCATTTACTCTGGACTTAATTGTCACTTCATTTGTGTAATAATAATAATAATAATAATAATAATAATAATAATAATAATAATAATAATAATAATAATAATAATAATAAACATTAGCTCATGCTGTAAAAGTGAGTGGATTTCTTCCTCTAAATTCTGCTACAGGATAACATTCTTCCATACATTCAGACTATTATATGGATTTCTTTCCAAATCTTTTGTAACCAAACCATTCCTTGTGCACTTGAGCCAAGCATGAATCTGTTGTAAAATAGCAGCACAGTGCCAAGGCTGACCTGTAAAACCCAGCTCAGCTGCAGGAACTTGGGGGTTCAGTGCTGCAGGGCTGGAGCCCCCATGGCTGGTTCACAGCTGGAAGACAGGCAGCAGCCAGCCCAGAATTTCAGGGAAAGCTCCAAGGCTTCTGCAAAAGACAATATATTTTGTACATTGACAAGGACTCTAAACAAATTGGACAAATTTCAGGTCAGGCAGGACAAGATCATTTGAACCAAACTTGAGCTAAATTCAACCACGTTTTCACAATCAAGACAGAACTCTAAAAGCCAAAGGCTAAACTCTCCCCATACTTCTGCTGGTGTATTGCATGCACTTTCCCACTCCATGGTACACTTGACTTACTTTTAGTCTGTGCTGAGACCAGTAATGGTGAGGCTTATCTTAAGTTACTCCTGAAAAAAGAAGAGAGAAGCAGTCACTTTTTTAAGCTGTACTTTCCCCTTTGAAACTGCTTAAAGTATATCAAAATTAAATGGCTATGGTTTAGCTCAGCAAATGCCTTGAGTCTTCAGTAATTTCATAAACTATAGCCAGTGCTGTGATGCAACACTAATAACATTTGAACAAATATTATTTTAATTTTAGCAAACTGCATAAAAAGACAATCTCAAACAGAGTTTCCTGAATTAGTTCTCATTTATTACCACTGATTTTTCCAAAGTAAACACTACTCTTGCATCTAAAATGGTTATTTATTGGACATAAATAAATATTTTTTCTTAGAAATTTACAGCAGCTCCAGTTCACAAATAATATTAATGGCAGGATTCTGCACTATATTTTTTAGCTTGACTTAAAATAGTTTGTATCACTTAAGCAGAAAAATCAATATTCATCTCACAACACAGAGCTCATACTGCAAACCTTACCTGGGTTTTTACAAGGCTGCAGAAAAGGCTTTGCTTCAGCTGGTCTGATTCAGATTTCTTCATTCTTACGCCAGATAACTGAAAGCTAAAAAGGGAAGATGCACCTGAAAACAAAATACATATTAGGTAAATATGCCTATCTCTAACAGTAACTCCGTCCTTGTCTTGTGAAGTCATCAATACAGGGAGGGAAGTTACACAATCAAAAATGAAGACAAATTATTTTCAACTGCCAAGCCAAAATTCAGTTCTGCTTTCTTTGCAATCTGTAATTGTACAAAGCCAAGCAGAACCTCAATATTTCATAAATAAATGGAATGAGATTAACAATAATCTGATATTAACTATAGTTTAAACAAGCAGATAGATAACATCATACTACTGAAAATAAAAATTGCTTAAATTGTTTAGCCGCTCTTATAGGTGGAAAAGACCTTTTCTTCTTTTACTTGTCAAAACCATTGTATTATTAACTGTCATATTTTGAAAGCTATACCTGTATTCTAACAGGAAATTTAAGTCCTGCAGAGTGTTTCCAGTTCTCTCATAACCCATACTTCAGACAGAATTTAACTCAAGAAATAATCCCTGCTTCATCCACTGTAGTTTCAAATTGAGGTCAGAACCATGTGTTACACAACCTTATTTCATGCAACAAAAAAAAAAAAAAAAAAAACCAACCAGAACTGCATTACAAGCTGCAGAAATCAGCACACTATTGCAAGCAACAAACATGCAAGATAATAACAAACAAAGAAGAAACTTGCTGAATTTCAACTAATAAAAGTATTCCAGCATATTCTGATAGCAAAGCAAATGCACTCAGAATAGTGGCAGAAAAATAATTGTTTTTAAAGTACACATAGGTAAAACCAGACCACTGGTAAAGCAGTAGGTCTTTACAAAATACCTCAGTTAAGAGGCTTTCACATTAGAAAATTTCTGGTTGTCCTTTAAATGAAACCATAAAGCACCTAAATTTAAAAAATGTTGTGTATCAGTCTCCTCTAGGTCTTCAAGAAAATAAATGCAAGCTACAGGTAACCATCAGTTATATGATACCAATTTTAAAAAACAACTTCCCACTAGAAACAGAGCATTCCATACATGTAGAAACCTCTTGAGAGGCCTGGGTGTTGTCTGGGTAAAACACTGGTCACAATACATGCATATATAAAAATACATAAAAAAAATATATGTAAACCCACAGAGGGATAGATGAGGCCAGTTGATCCACACCTCCCAAATCGAAGGTGGCTCATGCCCAGTTTCTCTGCCACATGGGCAGAGCAGCAGCTGCAGCTCTGGGTGAGCTGTGCAATTGCAGCCCTGGCTGCGTGGAGCTTTCCCCAGCAGAGATGAAGGGAAAGGCCTTAGCTGGTGATCCCATGCCAACACTCACACCACAACATGTTTTATGTTATGTTCTGAGTGCCTCAGATCCCTGCCTGACACCACAACAATTCCACTGGGAGGGAATGTACATTACTAGTGTGGCTTTGGCCAACTGAGGAGAGGCTTACAGATGCTGCTGAATCTCCTGCCAACCTTAATCCCATCCCAACAAGTGATTCTTTAGACAAACGATTTACATTTGCTAATCAAATACAAACCTAAATCTTTTCAATCTTTTTATGGCAGCATGGTGAGTAAATGGTTGCTGAAGTAATCCTTCAAGTACTGAACTTGGTCTCAGGATCCCCCAAAACAAATTATTATCAACAATTTGTATAGCAACTTCTTGAAGCAAAGCCCATGTTGAAGTTAGTGTGATTATCATTATAAAATCAGTTTTTTCTGCTGTCTTGCTTTTCTCTAGCACACATACAGAAGAGATCATCTAGCTTGCTACATCCACGTCTCCTAACAATTCAGCTTTAATTTACTCTTTGTGGATTAAATGAAAATGTTAGAAAATCCACTCAAGGTTTTCCTCCAAATCAGTCTTAAGATCCTCTGAAAAATAACTCTATGAGTCACCCTGATATTTTCTCTCCTAATAAATTAACAGCTCAACACCAGACAAATGTATGTATTTTATTGCCATCATCAATCAAAAGATGACAGAGTCCAGTCTGGATTAAAGTGCTGATTTCATAATTTATGTAATTCCTAGAGCATTGGAAACTATGAAAGCTTGAATATTTGTTCAATTCTTTCATTATTATGTCCCATTTAGAAAATAAGGTCAAAGCACAGGTCCAGTATTTAAATGAGCAGCTTTGTGCTGAAAAAGCCAGTGAGGTAAATGGGATAGGTTTGGGTTCCACAGGCACCAGTGCAGGGTCAGCTGGCCTGGCTCCCAGTGCTCAGCCAGCTTTCTAGTTCTTGGGTAATAAAATCATGTCATACATGATTCTTAGTTTGCAGGTAGTTGTTTTTCTTCTGAACCAGATTTCTAATCCTCAGAGGAGTAAAGATGATCTTGAAACCCTGAACCCATAGAGGCAGAGTAAAAAAAAAACCAAAAAAACCAAAAAAAACAGAGAGAAATATATGTAAACCTCCACAAATTTTGATACAGTCATACAAAGTTTTTAGAATCTTGCTTATTATCTTTGGCTACTTTGGGGAAAAAGTACTACAAGTCACCACATTCTTAAATTTTATGCTGATTTTCTGTGAATCCCATTTATTTCTACTGGGCTCTTTTTTTCATGCAAGCCTAGAAGTTAGTATTCAAAGTTCTCCTCATTTAAGAACTTTTTGCTGCTGAAAGTTCAAGCAAGACAAAGGAATCCTTCCACAGAAATATGCTTTTGTGCACAATCACAGATTGATTCAGTAGGGGTCTCTTGTATTTAGCAAAAATATTATCCTAGAACATACAGGCAGTTACTGTTTTGTTTTTACAAAACATACATTATTCATTTTTCCATTTGCATATTTTGCTATTTTCTCAGAGTGCACAAGTTCACCTTTTCCAAAGATACCAACTAAGGAACAGAAGGGAATGGAATTTCTCTGTGCACTGTCATGACTAAGAAATAATGACTTGGACCTTAGTCCAAAATGTCTGTTTTCTGTCAAAATCGTTAGTGCTATAACAACTCTCACATTGATGCCATTCCAGGTGCTAAATGAGGAGGGATAAAAGCCTGACTTCAAGGTCTTTCTAGTCCCTGAGGAGCAAGCATCTTTGGTCACAGGAGATTTTTACTTCTTCACAGTTTATTTGCTGCAAAAGAATGGCTTAACTTTAAATGCACATGATCACTTTAAGACCCACCAGTAAGAGAAAGCTGTACTTTGAATGATATAAATATACCAACAAATAAAATGTAAAGCAGGTATTAGAGAGCAAGCAGTAATAATTAAATATCCATAAGGTTTTCAAATGTGAGGCAGAATAATTATAAGTTTGTTAGCCTTCAAATGAGTTATATTACAGTACTAAAAGAAGAAACGTACCATCGTCCTCTGCAGTGCATAGAGAGATTTATTGTCAGCTAAATTGGCTTATTAAATGTAGTAGGATAAATGGACCTTTCTATAGTGCAGTCAGAATCACTAATTCCTGCTGTGACTGTACAAGAAGTGGTAGCAAAAAAAGAAAACAAAACAGCAGAAAAAGACAGATCAGAGACTTTAAAATGAAGTACCATAGTTCTTGAATGTCAGCAAGAGATGCTATAAGTACATACTAAATGTTCTGGAATTGTATCTCTAGTTTGTTCAGCAGGTAAGAAAGAGAAAGATAGATGGGGTGATTACTAAAAGAAACCAAGTTTATATTCTAGACTCCACTAGAAATTCTCTGTGCTCACTCAGATGTTCTGCACAGGAGGTTTTCTCAACACTACTGAATGTAGGGTCATTTTAATGTCAACTGCTTTCACTACAAGACTGGGTGATTTTTTGCACAGATTTCTTTATGACAATATCAAGCCCTATTGTACGTACAAGACTTGAATTACAGGCATTGTCTGCATTTAATCCAGGTAATCCACAGAACCAACATGGAACTTTCACACAAGTCAGCACCCAGGGTTAAATGTAACTCCATTAAAAACCTGCTACTCACTGATTTATGGCCTAATGACACTGTGTTTGCAAGAGAAAAGAAAACCAGCTTTAACTTTATGACTTTCTCCAAATGAGAATTTCCTTTCTCTTCCCAAGTAAAAGCAAAGTTTAATATAGTCAGATAATACATTGGTCTGTACATCTAAATAAAGCCATTTTATTATTCTTACTATTTAGCTTTTCTGGTGCATTTGGTCCAACTTTCCACAAATTCTTTAAAAAATTGTGTATTATTTATTGTAAGCAAGCATATTGTGAGCAAGCACCAACTCAAAGCTTCCATATAGTACAGCTTTAAGTAATTATCCAAATACAAGAAACTTAATTACTACCACTGAAGCTAAACCTCTTGTCATTAAAAAACTATTGTCTAATAAGTTTCTTATTTACATGTGGTCCAAACACTCTGACAGATAATGAAATACATCTAACAGCAAAATATGTACAGGTGCCCTGCAATTCAGAAGTGGCAGCTGTAAATACAGTAAGACATTGACACTGTGCATTTTTAAAACACGCCTATGTTTCAAAAGTAGGTTCACAACAAATCCAAGCCAAACTCACCTGAAAGCTTGGAAATGAGGCTGTTAAATGATCACTGAATTTCCAATCAAACAACAAGTAAATATAGTCAGTTTCATTTATGTTTTACTGTTATAATCTGATATATTGTGGTACCTTTCAAGACAATATTTTAAGTCATTTTAAAGATGAATTCTGTACAAACTGACTTGCAACCTCCCCTGGTTCTCAAAAGCAAAAACTTTAAAAAACTAAGTTTCTGGTTCTCCTGCCATCCCCTTCGACCTTCTTTCATTTTTAAGCCCCTCTGTCTGTGCTAGTGCAGAACTTCAGTAATTTGTTGAGACAAAACCTTCAGCAAAGGATTCATAAACAGTGATATAGAGGTAACTTTCCAAATACACATTTAGCAGCGACATTTTTGGGAGGTACGTGAAAAACTCGACAAACCCGCCAACTTTAGCATTTCAAGATGCAAACACACCTAATGACAACCAGAATGGAAAGTTCCAGATGAACAGGTTTTTTTATTTCTCTGGGGCACTTTCCAATTGCCCAGTTCTTTTGTGGTAAAATCATTTATGAATCTATAACTGATTCCCACTGGAATGTGAAACATGTCAGAAATGTTCAAGTGTTTCTAAAGGAAAATACCACTCACCTTTGGCTGTCTATTTCTCTTGATGCACCGAGAAGTCAGGTGTGCTAACCAGTAATTCTTGTTTCAGGTCAAACTGCTAATAATTCAGTGGGTGAGATATCTGTACAGGTGGATGTCTCTACCCATCCTGGAACTGGTGAGCATAAAGTCACTGTGAAAGGTAAGTTTCAAACAAGCCAACTTTAAAAAGAAAGGAACAACAAAGACCAAACCTCCAAGCACTACATCCTATGTATAACATACCAATACTAAAATAAAAAGTGATAAGTATTATAGTACTTGAGAGACTCTGAGTACACTTCAGGTGATTAGGAGTGCACTTTTTCCTTGCTCAACATCACCAGAAGTTCAGATTATGCAGACAAGTAGTGTCAATGCTTCTCTGTGTAGATAATTTAAAGTTATTATACTAAGTTATAGAGTTATAAATTAAAATGTGTCAAATTATACTTCTCGATTGCTTGTGCATAATTCAACTTCTAAAAAACTTCAGCAAAGCTGAGTAGTAAATGACTGCACCAAGTCTTAAGAAGCTGCATTTTTAACAAAATGCTTTTGTTCTGCACAACCTGAATTTCAGAAACACAGGATCATTCAGATTAGTATAAGCTGATTTTTTTAAATCAAAAGAAAAAAGAAGCTGTAAAAGTAAAGGATTTGTAAAATACATGTTTATATTTGATACTTTGGAACCTAAAAGTAGTCAGACAACTTTACTTAGCAGGGAAGAGGCAAAGTATCTTCCTAGGCTTACCAGGTATTGATATCCATAGGAAAGCTCTCAGATCACCTTTCCTGGCTTTACCAAATCATAGAGGGTAATTAATTGGAACTCTTCCAATGGAATTTTATTTAACTTAATTTCTTTTATCTCTTTATAGTTGTAGCAATTAATAACCTAAACTGGCAAACAACAGCTATGTTCCGGCCATTTGTGGAGGTTTGCATACTGGGTCCTAAGTTAAGTGACAAGAAAAGAAAACATGGAACCAAGACAAAGAGCAACACCTGGTCACCTAAGTACAATGAAACTTTCCAATTGTAAGTCTTTTATGTCTAGAAGTTGCATATTTTTTGAAAATTTCCCCAAAATACTTTTGCCTTTAAACCATTAATAGCAAAAAAAGCTATCCTAACATAGATATATAGACACATTTTCACAATTATTTACTGATTTGTATCTTTGTTGTATGTGAAAATGAATGGCAGTCATCAAGCTTTCACTCCTATAAAATCTGGTTAAAATGTACAATTAATTTCCCTACAGAAGAATAACTACTTCTATCCCTAGGAATCTGTTGGCCTAGGTATTTGTTTGGACAGAAGCATTAGTTATTATTTCTAGATATCTGGCCTTCATGCCTGTAGAGATATCAAAATGAGTATTGGATTGTGCATGTGTTAACACTATCGTTTATCTAATGCTGTTACCATTTAATCCTTAAATCAGTAAGAAGCTTCCACCTAACCTGGAGTTTTAAATTTAGTACTTCTCTGCCCTTTCCTGACACCAATTTATTTTCCTCCCCTTACCCTCCTGACTAAAAATCAGTTCACTCTCTGTGTCTCGCCACAAAACTCCTTTTGATGTCTGCTGCCAGGGATTTTCTGTATTGGTGCTGACATTTGGGGAACCAGCTGACCATTTTTTGTACTTGCCAGGGAAAGGTAACTGCCTGTTCCAACTATTGAGGGAATTCTGTTTCTGTTCAGGCTGCTGAGAACAGAGGCTCTATCACCAGTACATGTGAAGGGTTACCTGTGTAGAAATTTTAAAATTAGATAACCTGTTCAAACAAAATGGAACCACAAAACTTAAAGTATCACTCTCACTTTAATTTGCCCAAGATTGCTAGAGTGAATTAATTCCTTGGGGGAATTAAAGTGCACTCCTTGTTCTAAAGTCCCATTGTTAATCCCCACAGCCTGCTGAGTAACGAGGAGAATCCAGGAGCCTACGAGGTGCACCTGTCGGTGAAGGATTACTGCTTTGCGCGGGAGGATCGCGTCATCGGCATGGCCGTCATCCAGCTCCAGGCCATCGCCGACAGGGGCGGCTGCGCCGCCTGGCACCCCCTGCTCAGGAGCATCTCCGTGGACGAGACTGGGCTCACAATCCTTAGAATACTTTCTCAGAGGAACAATGATGAAGTTGCTAAAGAATTTGTAAGACTTAAAACAGAAACAAGATCTGCTGAAGAAACGACCTAAAATACCCAAGTAATGCAAGATTGTCACCGCCAAGAACATAAATACAACGCTGTTGTCTGACTACTGCATGCATGTGCAAATCTGTGGGAATGTTTCACTATGTTTTCAGTGTTTGCCAGTACTTATGTACTATATTTGCAAGGTATGTCAAGGAGCTGTATATCTTTTATACATATTTTGGTCTTTGGTAAAGTAAATGTTCCAATGAAGTGCCAAAACTAAGATTAAGAGTAAATGTTCCATCATCTCTTTTTAAATGTTGATTTCACCTCATCACAATTTCATTATTTTTTAACATTTATTAAAAAGTAAGTAGCTTTTTTTAATTGATAATAGGTTATCGCTGTTAAACTGTGTTGCTTATTTTAAATTAAGTTACATCCCTTACTCTTCTTTTAAAAATGAGGTATACCTAGTTTTCTTCAAACTCTCATGTTATGCAAGCCTCATTTTAGGTGTCTTACTGATGACTTTTTCTATCATTACTACAGATGCAGTTACTTATAGAAAGTGTTTGTAATTTTATAATTACCAATATAAAGTAATGATTTTTTTGCATAAAAACTGAAAAGGATGGAAATATTTTATGCTAATCTCTTTTTCCAACCTTTCATAAATATCACTGTGAAGAAATGCTGTTAAAGCAGGTTCTCAAGAAGCTGTGCTTATCAGAGTTTGTTACTGATGTTTGATATCTTGAGATAACTTTGTTCTTCAAAACTGCCACGGTAATACCATATTTGTATTAAAAGAGTAAGTCAGTATCTGTAGAAGCAGGTTGCTGTACAGTACAGTATATGTGCTTTTAAAAAGTGATTTTTTAAATGATATGGTACTGTACAAGGGGTAGTAGTTTGGAATATGTAATGCCAGTTTGTGGTTTGTTTCTAGAAATTGTTTACGAGAAGAAAAGATGCTGTTAGCATTTTCACTCAGAGTTATTAACGTTGCTTTACATACTTAGCTGTAACATCAGTTAAGTGCTTTATTTCTTTAATTTTTTTTAGAAAAGTTCAACAGTTTGTACTTATGCAACATTACTATGTATTGCACTAAAGCAAACTCTGTGTCCTGTAAATATATTTAGTGAGGAATTGTAAAATAAAGTATGCAGAAACTGCTTTCCAGTTTTGTCATTTGATATTATTTATGTAACTCTTGGTTTTATGTGCATGTAAAGCCCATGGAGTGGGCTTACTATATAGCTTTATAATATATTAAAGTATAATTTGCACTGTCTGGAATCTGGCTGTTTTATAATTGTAAAATTTGATATATCAGTGTCCTAAAAAATATAATGAATTAGGTAGATGAAGTTGCTAAAGAATTTGTAAGACTTAAAACAGAAACAAGATCTACTGAAGAAACGACCTAAAATACCCAAGTATTTTATATGTGTATATACACACATATATGTGTGTGTATATACACATATTTTATATGTGTATATACACACACATATAAAAAGATATTGTGTAATGCTACACATTTGTCATTAGTTTTGGTTACAAGGGTTTCTCATTACACAGGTTGGAGTTTTCAGCTTTGCTTAGGGAAAAAATAACTAAGGGAAGGGAGGACACATAGTTTGTTTGCTGATGTCAGCCTTCTAAAAATCCAACACATGACTCCACACACATAAACCAGATTCTTTCCAGGAGATATTGGTTAGATGTTTAGATGAGATTTTAAGGTCTTTCAACATCCTCAAACTTCTTCCTTGAATACTAAAAATTAGATTTGTCATAAGTATATTTAGACATTTAGATAAGTTATGCACAGTCTTTAGAGAGTTAAGAACACTCCCCTAAGATCGTAGATTCCAAATTGTATTTCTGCCAGGTATAGCCAAAATGTCAACAGTAGGCACAGACTCTGTTTACAGTTAACAAGATTTGATGTAAGAAAACACAGCAGACTCAGTTTCAATTACAAAAGGAGAATAATCAAGAGATGAGATGGTTCCTGGTACAGAACACTGTTGCAGACAAAAAGCAAAAAGAATTCCAGAATATATCATTTGTGGCTCTGTGAATTAAACCAGAAAGGCTGGAGTAAACAGCTTCTGGGTTTTTTTTACCTGGAGCACTTTCATCATATTTTTCTGTGGTTGTTTATTCTACTGTAAAATGGCACACATTTTAGTGCGTAATGGCATCACCACCCACTTAACTGTTTATCCCCGAGACTGGGGATAAAGGAATAACAACAGAATCAGTCAAGGCAGTCAATTACTGCTTGTAGTGGTCTCCCTCAGCTGCATGAAGCAGAAGCAATCAGGCAAGTGGTAAAACCATCCCTTACAATCCACAGCTTTACACAATACCCTTCAGTGTTTCTGACAGGGAAATATTTATAGATCAAAAGTTGTCATGTGGAAGATAAGAGGAAAAAGCATTAACTCTACAGCACAGGACTGCTTTAAACAGTGTTATGAATCAAAATACAAGTAAATGCAATAGTGCATTTGACTACATTTCATGTAGTCAAAATGATTGGCATGGAAGAGTTTTCAGTGCCGTTTTAAAAGCTGTTATAATCTCTTTTAGGGAAGTAAATATCCCATTATAAAAAACCAACTTGTGAGATTTACTTAAGTCAGCTGAGCTAACCTAAGCAAATTGACAGCTGTTCCCACAGCTTCACTTCTCAAGAAAAACAGATGCAACCAAAATCCTACATGGAATTCTGTTTGCACTGGTTAGTTAAGATAGCAAATATACATATTTGCTCTTAGGTAAATAAAGGAGGAAAAGAGACAGCAGAGAACAGCAAGATCAATTTGAGAACAAATTTTCCATTCTCCTAGGGACAGTTACTACATGGAAACCATTTGATGTGCCCCTGAAAAGATACATTCAGAGAAGTCTGTCATAGGACAGCTCTTCAAGCCATTCTGTACGCTCAGAGCTGACAGTTTTCCATAAAACTTCAATAAAGACTGAGAAAGATTTTTGCCCTTTTTATTTTGTTTGCTAGGATGAAAATGTAAGAGCCAAATGCAGAAACCGAGTTAAATATTCTTCAAAGCATATTTTAGCTAATATCTGACAAAAGGAGGGAAGTAGTAATATAGTAATTAAAGACTAAAACTAAACTAGCAGCCATTCTGAATCTCAAACACCTTACTTAAAATAATGTTTTTTCCTAATGCCACATTGAGATGACACATGAATGAAGAACACAGTGCTGGAACTGGCCTTTCCATTGCATATGGACATTGAACCCAGGAAACTGCTAAAATACCAAAGGAAACATCTGTGAGATTGAACTGGATGTGCATAGTTCTTCATACCTTTTATGTCTTCTGGAGACTTAAATTTGCATCAAAATAATCAATTCATGGGTTTTGGGCTATCACCAGGAGGCTCAACCATTACCAGCAACAAAATATGAAACATTTTTTCAAATAATTTTGTCTGTATCCTGGAAGAATCAAGAGACTTTTCATAAAGAATTCCTAGAATGTGCAAATGCCACAATTTGGCTTAGGTAGACTTAGTGATTTACTTGAGAAGTAAATCACTTTTCTTTTACATAAAAGAATGATAGTAGTCCAATAATTTCCATTGTTTTTCCTCCATGTGTTTTACTAGTTCTCATTTATATTCTCATACTAGTGACTGTAGAAATCAAATTTCTAGACAAATACTGAAAACAAAATAATAATTTACCATTACTGCATTAGTGTGAATTAAATACACATTTCTCACAAATCCCTTGAAATCTAAAGACCAGAACAAATACGGGGAGAATATTAAGTTATCATATTAAATTTAATTCAGCTAGCAGACATAAAATCAACATAAATGGATTCAATGTTATTTGTAAAATACAGCTGGGCAAGTGTTGGAAAATGTTCAGTTGTTTACACATGCTTATTTTGATGGTATTCTCATATCACTTTGTATTTTGGCACCAGATTTATGTGATTGATTGTACTATGAAAAATTCATAGAAATTAATTTTCAGGAGACAAATTCTAAATTTTTTTAGAAATTATAATCGAGACCTGATACAAACACTAGACTGAGACTAATAAGCAGAACTAGGATATTCTAAAAACATCACTATAAGTATTGGCCGAGAGAAAGAAAAATTACAGTTTGTGTCTGGAAAATATCTGTTTCTCCTGGGTGTTCTATGCTGAAGGAATGCACACACGCACTACAAAGTATAAATACATTTCTAAATTATGAATCTATAAAATCTAAATTGAAGATAAAACCAACAGGCAACCAAGTGAACAAAAGTACCTTTTCAAACAGATTCTGTAGCTAAAAGCTTACCTAAACAAACTTCCTAAATGATTCAGCCTATGACCATTTCATTGTAAGAATTCAATTTCATATTTCAAAGATTTTCAGTAATTACAGCTGAAAGCCTTCACTATCAATTTAGCACAATGAATTATTCACTGCAGAATATGAAATAACAAGTGGGCATACTATGCACTTTGTAGTGAAAGCCATTAAAACATCATAGATTAATTTTCAACTAAATAAATACATGAAAATAAGAAAAGTCAATCCAAGGAAGTGAAGTTTGCTCTTTAAGATTTTTTTTGTTATTTCTACACACTACAATTCCAGGCTCCGACCTGCATGGCCTTGGGGTCTCACATAACACCCATTTCTCTAGGGATTTTTGAGCAGTAGTAGGAGTTCCAGGCAAAGAAGACAAACCAGAGAGCAGCTCAGGCCACAGATCAGCTGCCTGAGTTGTTCCCAGCTCTGCTCTGTAAACCGGACACACACAGTTGTTTGACCAAATACACCAAGGAAAAAACAAACCTACACTGGGGTAAGACAACTGAAGCTATTACAGACCAGGCTCAGGCAAAAATCACAGATCTCCATCTTCACTTGCCCAAGACACACAAGAGCTGCTAACAATCACTGAGGCTGCTCTAACTTCCATTCCATTCAGGTCTAAGAGGGCCTACAGAATTTGTTCAATCATGTTTACCCATTTAGGCAAGAGGATTTTTTTGCCAGTGACAGCACTGACTGCAGTGTGAGTTAAGCCTCCAGGCCTGAGGTCATGACAGTGAGAAAGCAAATGTCAATTACTGACTAGCAGAAACAAAAACTGAAAAGGAATTGTGAAAATATGCAATGTACAGTAGAACACTAATGGAAAACTACAGCAGACTGAATCCATTCCCCTCCTCTAAATAACAGCCCCTATATGATGCCTGCTAGATGGACTTTAATTTACAACACATGGCAGGGCTTTGTCCATAGAAGCCACCCAGTGTTTCTAAACATTACACAGCAGTCAGACACAAAAAATATTTCACAAGCAAATTGAATAGCCAGAATAGCTGGACTGTATGGGAATACACTCAGAGGAAAAGATGGAGAGGAAAAAAAGAGGAATGGATGTGGGAAAAGGCTGACAGACAGTGTGGATTCAGACTGCATTCCTTAACTCCTGGCAGAACCAGAAAAGGCTGTGTGATACCAGGATGACACAGAAAGGTATATTTGTCTGTATTTCTGTCATGTTCTAGTCTAGCTCAAGAGTTACTTCTGTTGATTTTGATTTCAGTAGAGGTACAAGACAGAATTTGATCCCTGAGAGGGTCTCCCCTATCTTTTTGAGTCTGAATAAATGTGCTCTGCATATCTCTACCCTCTGTTACAAAAAGATAAACATATACCCAGCCCAGAAGCCACCATAAACAAGTTCAAGCTACAGAGCCTGCAGATATTATTTCCCTGAATAATAAATATCCAAGTCACAACAACACCAATGAGGTGGAATATTCTCTTGAGGAGCTTGAGAAACAACAGCAATTTGGATCTAATGGTGCATCAATGTATCAACATGTGAATTTGCACCCAGGAGACAATAATAAATAAATATGCCCTTAAAACACTATCTGCTTTTCCTGTGTAATTTGCAGAGGAGCTCCTGTGCCAGACTGAGCTTCCTCAGCATAGTGTCCACTCTGAAATTAGGTCAAGCCCTTCATTCTCCCCAGCTCAGCAGCAGAGACAAAGCATTGCATAACTACTGAAGTGAGCTGGAGTCAGCAGCAGCAGTGAACTTAACTCCTACCAAATATGCTCTGTGATGTTCAACAGTCCATATAATCACAGCACATCTTCCCTTTACTGTAGAGAATTTCATTTCTGATCAGGGAGGAGTTTCACAGCAGAAAAAAAATAGAAACAAAGAATGCTGTTTACACTTAGCAATGACTTACTACACTTACTAGATGGAAACAATGAAGAGTGTAACTCTGAGTATATATCCTTCTCTGTCAGAAGAAAATAAACAAAACTAATACACAAAACTTATTGCATTAACTGAATCTCTCTAAAAAGAATAGAAAAAATAAATACATAGAAAAATATCATAAACAGCTTGCAATTTTGGCAAATTATGTTATTTAGACTGGCTGGCTAAATAATCTGTGAGAAGGGGTTAAATCTTTGTCAAATGCTCCAAGTGAGCTAATGAGGCTAGTGCCAGCTGAGAGAGTCCTGTCTGGCTGAATGCAATGTCTAGAATCAGCATATTGTAACACAGACCAGGTTTAAAATCCAACATGTCAGACATTGCTAATGGAAATAAACACAGTTAACTGGAATATTTAGAGAATAGCATATGGTTTTGTGCTGAGAGCAAAGTGAACACAGAGGAGAAAACAATTTGCCAGACAGAGGAGGAAAGTCTGGAACAGTATCATTACTTATAGTACAAGCGTGTATTTGGATGACAGCCTTAAATAAAACATTGCTGAAAAAGAGATACGTAAAAACCAAAACAAGAGACATTGCAATAAAACAGAGAAGGAAGGGCAGAGTTGAAAGAAAAGGGCCCATGTAACAAAGACAGTGCTAAATCAAACCTGCCACCCAGAGAGTCCTTTGAGACTCTTACACAGTAAATTATTTAAATGGACTGATAGAGGATAATTAGCACACATCTATATACCAAAGTGACTGTGACTAACAATAAGAAAGAAACAAAAGAAAAAACCAAAAATCCTCTTCAGACCATCCTAGAAAGGAGTTACAGCGGGAGGAATAAAGTTCTAGATTCATTTTGAAATTCCATTATAAGAACACTCTCAGTATATTTGTGGCCAATAATTAATAGGCAAGCAGTACAAGACTTACCCATTTTTTCTGCTCACACCCCAAGCTCATAAAAGGTTTGCTGTCAGAACACTTTTGTAGAAATTAAACAGAGGTAAAAGCAAACAGTACCTGGTCACAGCTTCCATGATGTTTTGAGCTTATTTACCCACAATCATGTTCTTCTTCAATGTCCCATCATTCACACACAGAAAGACTGAGGAAATAAGATAAAATTTTCTGTTTATATTATAAAGGGTAGGCAACAGCATCAGAATTGAATTTCAGGGTTCCAAATTTATGCTCTAAGCATTGCTCCTTGTTTCTCATCCAAGGCACAATATGGGGGATTGTCACTATCTCTGCCTACAGTTATGGGTGTTTACTGCCTGGTATGATTCAATTACTTTATCGACCAAGTAGGAAGACTTCAATCAACCTTTCAAGAAAACCTCCCCTCATAATTGTTGATAACCTGTGAATAAGCAGACTCCTTGAAATTTCTAGATCAACATAATATGAAAAGTAAATCCATTTTCACTGTGAGGGTATCAATATTCAAAGGCAAATAAATAATTAATTTACAATTGTAAATTCATCATGGATTAATGTTTCATAGGGTTCCTTTGCCTATATATCTAATATATATATCCAAACAAATCAAAAATCCACAACCTTTTGGAGGTCTAAAGTTCTTCAGTTGACTACAACTATATCATGCAATGAACAGACTCCTCAAATCAAATTCCTGTTAGTCTTTTCTGTGGAATATAAGCAGCAAGTAAATGTAATAAATGTAACTCCTGAGCTTCTCATTACAACAAGAACAAAAGCATGAGGCACTTGGGAGCACTGTTGGCCCAGTCCACACTGAAGTGGACCTTAAATGTACAGCTCAATCTGGGGGCTCCTAGGCAGCCCCTAATGGCGAAAAATAACCCAGAGGAACCACATAACTGAACAAGCAAAATAATTAGAAAAGCAAAATCTGAAGCTCTTTGTCTCAGTCCAGAACCTTTTACCCAGCACCACTCTGCTAAGCTGTAATGCCATATACACAACAGAAAATAATCATCAATAAAATTTGCTTTTCTATCAACTGTGAAAGCTGCCAGGATTGATAAGCAATAGCAGGAATCGGGTCTTGGCATTGTTTAAAGCTATGTAAAATCATTCTCCTTTTTACTGATTTTCCTGTTGAGTCAGTCCATAGATTTTTCAGTCCATCTCTTTCTTTTCACTATTAATCAGAAAGATATTAACAGCACTTCTGAGATTTCACCATTAAAAGCAGGCATCCTTTATGTTTTTTGAAAAGCTAATTTATTATGCAATGTGAAAATACATCACATCATCTGTAAGTATTTGACTTTTCTCACACAGAATAGAGAGAAACAACCTGTTTTTGAAAGATGTAACTCAATTTTATACCCACTTCTCAGCAAAAAATGAAAGAGCTGCCACTGGAACTAAAAGATGTTGCATGTACCATCACCATCAATAACTCTGCAAGACATTCAGCAATATTTTGTCCTAAACTGCAAATAACAAGATTAGAAGTGCACAGCTTCACTATGAAATTACAAAATAACTTACATTTAATAAATGTTAATGTATTTTTTAAAAGCAAATCTATGCAGATGCCACCATGTTTTTTTAAGCTTTTGATGTACACTTTCTAAATTCTAGAGTTGCACAGCTCTACAATGATTTTCTGGCTGTTTTAGAGGCATCTAGCTGAAGGAGTACTCTGCAAAAACAAAATCTCATGATACTGTAGGAACCAGGAATTTTTCCCTAGATACAAAATAGTTCACAAAATCACAGAATAATTCAAAAATACCTAAGATTTTAGATCATTTTTCAGTACTACTTTATTTCACCAAATGCTAATATTTCTATATTTGCCATCACTAGGTATCAAAAAGAAAAATTCAATTACCCCAAAAGGCTGAATACTCTCCAAAATTCATGGAACTATTTAAATTCATTAAGCTACAAGTGCAAATTGGCACCCAAATTAAAAATTAAAAGCTGCCAAGATTGTAATTCAGATTTAACATGCTGCCTGATCTGTGATTATACTGATTTTTAAATTAAGTTGCAAAGAGCTGTGTATAATATTCTCCTTCAGAAAACAAAACAAAAAGAAAAAAAAAAGCAAGGAAGAAAGGATTGTGCTTATGTTTGTGGTTTAGTGTGGCTTTTGGGGTTGGGGGGGGTAATATTTATTTTGGTATTTAACATATAGAACCACAAATAGCAAATCTGGTACAGATACACGTTGCATAGGTCAGCTATGATCTGTAGAAATGCAGTCAGAAAGGATTGTGCTTATGTTTGTGGTTTAGTGTGGCTTTTGATTTGGGGCTTTTGGGGTTGGGGGGGGATATTTATTTTGGTATTTAACATACAGAACCACAAATAGCAAATCTGGTACAGATACACATTGCATAGGTCAGCTATGATCTGTAGAAATGCAGTCAGAAGCAGATATTTTAACTGAAGAGGGAGGCAGGGCTCTGCCTGGCTGCCACCATCAGCTCTGCTGGGTTTTTCTCCCTGACCAGCCCAGAAACTGAGCGGGCTCCTCCTCACTGCCACGCCATCAGTGCAGACTGGAACTATGCTGCTGCTCAAAATTATTCAGGAGCATAAAACACAGAGAACTCGGGGCCATTTGGAAATACCACTGAGCATTTTCACAAGCCCACACGCACAATCACAGGGATTTAATAAATCTGTGTCAGTGTTCAAACTGGAAAAATAGATCCTGCAAGTCTTACTGGCCTGAACTCTTCCCAAACCAATTTTGTGTTTCTTAATGTAACAAAACCAACTGGAAACCAGTCTCCTCTATAAAAGCCCCCAACTGAGACAATTTTTATTGTTAATCTTGAATCTCTCCAGTAACTAAATTGTAATGAAACATTAAACATGATATGGTAAAGATGATCTATGAGTTTTGGAGAGTGGGAGTCAAGTCTGCTGGACATTGAGGACTCATGGCAATTCTTTTCATTAAAAATATATCCGTTTTTAGTTATTACCCAGGAGGTGCTCTTATGTTATGAATTAAACTTCACAGAAAATTACTTAGATTAAAAATAAGATTTCTTCAATCATTGCTGAAGTAATGAATTCCCATTGGATGATCCTAGGATAGCAGAATAAATATGTATGAAAAAGAAGCAAAGGCTGCACTCTGCCAAGGTTATTCTGTCAGATGGCAAGAGTTACACAGCACAAAAAAACTTTTCAAAAATGAGGTACATTTGAACTCTAGCTTTGACTATCAATGTCGTAAACTTCTACAGTTGAAAAACTGACATAAGTACTATTTAAGTAGTTTGGCTTTTTTCACAAAGCGTATCTAAAATATAACTTGTCTTTACATGGAGCAGATTAAATCCATTTAAAGAAGGCTGCATGTATCATGTGATGTCTGGATATAGATATTTGAGATTGAAACCTTGGAGAAGAAATAAACAAATTTCAAGTAGTGGTCAATCCAAGGACTTGAGAAAGAAAACAGACCAAGGAAGAAAGTTAAGTTTGAAGCTTGTCAGCAAAGTTATGTACAAAACACATTCATTAAAGATTATTATTAACATAGGATTACAGAGGATTATTTCCAACTTTAGGAATTCTCAACATCCAACTGTACTTAATTATTTAGTATAAAGCTAGCTTTAAAGTCTTGAGTACCCCTCAATTTCTTCTCTAAATAATAATTCAAAATAAGTACTTGGGGATACTGTTCTACTATTCCAAAATATGCTCATGAATGACCCTGAAAGAACTCTGCATCTGCCTGAAAAGGAGTATTTCTGACAAAAAAGAAAAACAAACAAGGCTCTGTATTGAATGTGTTTGTATTATATTGGATTGTTTGTATTATCTTTCCTTCAAAAACTCATTAATTATGAAGAGTCAGAAAAACACTGAGATGGCTTCTACCAGACACACAAATCATTAATCTGACAAATCTCATTTGATTGTGATGAAGGTGACAAGTGCCAGACTCCATTCCTGGACGAAGCCTCTTCTGCACTCCCAGCTGCTGGTGCAGTTTGGCCAGGGGAGCCCCAAGAGCTGAGCCTGCAGCACTGCTACAGATAACCCCACAGCAATTAAAAGGGGGGTACTGGATACATTCCTGAACATGTATTGGACTTGAAAAACCAAAATCACCATCACCCGAACACAGAAAAATGCATTCTGAAAATGAAAGAGAAATTCATTCAACATCCTAGGAAAAAGAGATAAAATCTCAATTATCAGAAACACCTGAAAAAGTTGAAAGGAAAAAACCCAACTACTCCCACTGCCTTGATTGACATTTAAAAATTCTGATTATTTTAGTACATTTTAACATAAGTTACTTGCTCATATATAGATATTTGTTAAGTTTGCTACCAGATTCTAACAATACTAACTCAAAAGGGGAAAAAAACAATTATCAGCCTATAATTTTCAAATGGGCAACTCTTCTTCAAATAAGATATGAAATAATAGAGGCACTAAATATAAAGTGATTTTTTTCTCAGTAAATATTACCTTTAATTTATATTACTATAGAAAGCCATGTTATAATTTGCCTGAGCCTCTCTAAATATGCTGCAGCACAAACACTTTCTTCCTAATTGTTTAGAGAATACCTAATCTAATTGTGACAGACTACTCTGGGCCACAGGCCCCTGAACACAAACGCCACCTCAGATTTGTGCTTCTCTGACACTCCCAGGGGCACCCTGCAAGCTGACATCAGGAACCTGGGGTGGCAAGTTTTGTGTCACAGGGAAAAGGGACAGCATTTGTGTTCAGGGGTCTCTGAACCACTATATCCTCCAGCCATGAGGTCCTCCTTTTGTTGGATTTTAGCTTTGTAAAAAAAGAAAAACGGTTTATCATTTCTTCTTCTCAGCTAAGCTGCCATTAAGTCACGCATCAGTTTCCTTTAATCAAAACAACACAGCCTTTCCCATGTTTTCACAAGGGTTTTAAATTCTGGCTCAGCTCTGCTACAGCACTTTACATACCCTTAAAAACTATAAATGAGGCAATACAGACTGTCAGTCGCACAAGTAATTGCAGACACCATCCTGCTAACAGCTGGAATGGAGAGTTCAGCAGTGCTACCCATCCCCTGCCTTCTCCAGGAAACACATTCAACAATCATCTCACTACTGCTGACACGATTTCCCTCCAATGAGC